TGAATTGAGGAAACTTGAATCTACACTACCTGGGGATGATTCCACAAGAGTTTCATCTTTCCTGTCTCAATGGTTCTTGAGGAGAAGATTTTTCCTATATATTCCTATGTAAAACTTTGATCGGCGATTTTGGCCCCACCGTATCCCGGGAGGTCATGATTTGAACAAACTTGAATCTACACTACCTGAGTATGATTCCATATGAGTTTCATCTTTCCTGGCCAAGTGGTTCTTGAGGAGAAGATTTATAAAAAAATTTCCTATATCTTCCTATGTAAAAATTTGATCAACCATATTGGCCCCACCCTACCCCCAGGGGTCATGATTTGAACAAACTTGAATTTACACTACCTGAAGATGATTCCACATGACTTTCATCTTTCCTGGCCCAGTGGTTCTTGAGAAGAAGATTTTAAAGATTTTTCCTAATATATTCCTATGTAAAACTTTGATCGACCATTTTGGCCCCACCCTACCCCCGGGAGTCATGATTTGAACAAACTTGAATTTACACTACCTGAAGATGATTCCACATGAGTTTCATCTTTCCTGGCCCAGTGGTTCTTGAGAAGAAGATTTTTAAAGATTTTTCCTATATATTCCTATGAAAAAATTTGATCGGCCATTTTGGCCCCATTCTACCCCCGGGGGTCATGATTTGAACAAACTTGAATCTACACTACCTGAAGATGATTCCACATGAGTTTCATCTTTCCTGGCCCAGTGGTTCTTGAGAAGAAGATTTTTAAAGATTTTTCCTATATATTTCTATGTAAAACTTTGATCGGCCATTTTGTCCCCACCCTACCCCCGGGGGTCATGATTTAAACAAACTTGAATCTACACTACCTGAAGATGATTCCACATGAGTTTCATCTTTCCTGGCCCAGTGGTTCTTGAGAAGAAGATTTTTAAAAAATGCCATTAGTTTTTCTCTAATTCATTATTATCTCCCCTTGGAAAAGGGCGTGGCCCTTCATTTGAACAAACTTGAATCCCCTTTACCCAAGGATACTTTGTAGCAAGTTTGGTTGAAATTGGCCCAGTGGTTCTTGAGAAGAAGATGAAATGTAAAAAGTTTACGACGACAACGACAAAGACGACGACAACGACGACAGACGACGGACAAATTTTGCTCAGAAAAGCTCACTTGAGCCTTCGGCTCAGGTGAGCTAAAAACGATTTGTGTAATCTTACTGCAGGAAATTCGTACGATTCAAAAAGAGTGATTTTTGATTTCCTATATAACTTTCATAATTTAGAAAAATAAAGAGCGTATTTTGTATTGAAACTGTACCTTGTTCCTTGTTTCTATAAATAGAACTGGAAATCCTCATTGATTTCGCATATTTCAAATATAAGTAGAACTGGTTATCATCATTTTTTTTATACTTGTTAGTTAACGGTAATTAGTACATATTTTTTCTTTCCAACATTGCCTGAAAAGGTTCAGTAATCTACATTTTCTCGATTATTCTAGTAATCTATTTTTAGACCATTACTGCTAAAAAAAAAAAAAATCAAGAGTCCATCCTCAATATTGTAGCAATTATTGAACAAACACGTCTTCATTTTGAAAGCATATTGTAGAAAGCTTGATATTTGTTTAGACGTTTTCTATAAAGCTTCCAGTTAGCATAAAATTACCTTTTTTTCCTAATATTCAGACATATCTATATTTAGGCACTTGATACTAAAAATAGAAATTATACCCCCCTCAACTATTGTCCACACTTGCTAGTGGTGGCCAGCTACTGTCATTAACATATCAAATTGTACAAAATATTTGCTATTTATGCAACAATTACATCTAAAAAGTGCCCGAAAAGGTGCAATAATCTACATTTTCTCAATTATTCGAGTAATCTATTTTTAGACCATTTTTGATATAAAATGAAACAAGAGTCCATCTTCAATATTATGGCAATTATTGTACAAACTCATGAACATTTTGAAAACATACTGTAGAAACCTTTATATTTGTTAAGACTTTTTATATGAGGCTTCAAATTAGAACAAAAATGCCATTTTCCCTAATATTCAGAGACATATATATTTTTAGCCACCTGATACTAAAAATAGAAATGGGAATTCCCCTTACCCATTATCTATACCTGCTAGTTGTGTCCAGCTCTAGTCATTGACAACTCAAATTTTATAAAATATTTCCTAGTTATGCAGCAATTACATCTAAAATGTTCCTAAAAAGGTGCAATAATCTACATTTTCTCAATTATTCGAGTAATCTATTTTTAGACCATTGTTGCTTTTAAATGAAACAAAAGTCCATCCTCAATATTGTGGCAATTAATGTACATACACATGTACATTTTTTAAGGATATTGTGGACAGCTTTATATTTGTTAAGACTTTTAATATGAAGCTTCCAATTACAACAAAAATGCCATTTTTCCTAATATTCAGAGAAATGTTTATATTTAGCCACCTGATACTAAAAATAGAAATGGGAATTCCCCTCAACCATTATCCATACCAGCTAGTGGTGTCCAGCTCTTGTCATTAAAATCTCAAATTTTACAATATACTTCCTAAATATGCAGCAATGACATTTTAAAAAACTTTGCCAAAATTTGATTTTTCACATTTTTCAAAAATATATCTATTTATAGAAACATGTTACTAAAAATAGGATCAAAAGCCCACTGATAGTTTTTCCTGAGATGACACTTTTTATTCCCACGTATAATAACACACATAAGATTTGGAAAATTTCCGCGGACAATTTTTCTTATTAAGCCTTTAAGATCTCAAAAAATGCCAATTTCCCCATTTTTCAATTTTTTAGAAATCATGTCAGTTTTCATGACCCTTTTCTTCAAGGGGGAATATTTCTAGAATGAACGATTATATGCCCAGTGTACCTTAAAAGTTCATGTTATCATATGATCCAATGATTTTTGTTAGAGTGTATAAGATATCGATAAATATTCATTTACATTTCCTCAATTTTTAGTCAAAAATGGCCAAAAATGGCCGAAATCAATAGATCCGTCTCCATGGCAACCAAGTGCACGTGTGGAACTTCCAACACCATATTTACTAGTTTTGTACTAAGACACACCTATGGTGAAAATTTCATCAAAATCCGAGACATGCCCTATAGTAAATTTGTTGGTGTTTACAGAGAAAGCGTGTTCAGAAATATTTAAAACTATTCAAATTCATAAATATTTGCAATCTTTAAATGATTTTATATTTAAAGACTTTGTTCATTCAATGATATCGACGAGATTGTTTATAGAGTAAAGCCTTTTGTTGTCCAGAAATATACCAATCTCTCTATGACTTGCCTTTAAGTCGGACAGAAAGATTAAGACAAAGCTTTAACACCCCCAAAAAACTACGTACATGTATAGGTGAGTATGTACGGTATGCGTGATAAAAAAGTTAAATCTTATTAAGGTTTCACTAAAGGTTAACATATCCTTTTTTCTTACTATGTGAGGCATAAAGTTAAAACATTTACAATGTATAAATATATCATTGATTAACAGAAAGAAAGTAGCATGTGAAAACAAATATAAAAAAAAAATTAAATGTTTTAAGAAAAAAATATTAAACTTTTTTTCATAAGATGCACCCGTTTAATGTTGTACTTTTGGTGAAAACCATCATTGTAGAAATAAGATATGTTTATCTATGAAGAGCAAGTTGGGCGTGAATGATCTCTAAAAGGCTGATATTGAAAGCATGACATGTATAAAGACAAGACCCGTATAAAATCCGCCATTTGCTTTGTACTTTCGGTTTCAAATCTTAACATTTGGACAAAATAAACAGGTATAAAACTTTCAGGAGGCTATCGAAGTCCTACTTGTCCTTCATTGATAAACATATTTTGTTTCTGCAATGATGAATTTCGCCAAAAATTCGGATGTACTTACATGTGGGTGTATATGTATCTTGTAAAAGTACGACTCATGCATTTAAAAAAAAAATTTCTCGATAAATATTCAAGTATTTGTAATCAAGTGATACTTTTTATTTGTTTTTTAGACGGTAAAAGTTTCAACTTTATAAACCACATATTTTTGGAGCTATTGTATAAATAAATTTTTTGGAATGTTCACATTTAGTGAAACCTTAAAGCCACTAGATTCTGCTGAGAGTAGAGAACACATGAAAAATATCATAACTTTACAGTTTGCATGCTTAAAAACATGACTTATCTAACTAATGATTGTCTATAGAACTGCTGACCTTAAAACTTTTCTAAAGAATTGTTGCTCTGTATCAAATGACATACTTAACTTAAGAGAGAGCTGCTGACTTACTTGACTTCTCTACAGAACCGCTCTGTATCAAATAACTTTCTAAATTGTCCACAGAATTTCTTACTTACATGACTTGCCTAAAGATAGAACGATTTCCTTGACTTCTCTACAGAAGTACTGACTTACTCATATCTAATGACTTGACTTATCTACAGACTTCTTGACTTAACTGACAATTCTAAAGACTTATTGACTTGTCTACTGATTTCCTGACTTACTTGACTTGTCTACAGAACTGATGCTCTGTATTAAATGACTTACTTGACTTATCTAGAGATCTGATTACTTACTTGACTTGTCTACAGAACTGATGACTTACTTGACTTGTCTACAGAACTGCTGCTATGTATCAAATGACTTACTTGACTTATCTACAGATCTGATGACTTAATTGACTTATCCACAGATCTTATGACTTACTTGACTTGTCTACAGACTTATTGACTTACTTGACTTTTCTACAGACTTATTGACTTACTTGACTTGTCTACAGAACTGATGAGTTACTTGACTTGTATAGATTCTTTGACTTACTTGACTTGTCTACAGAACTGATGACTTACTTGACTTGTCTACAGATCTGATGACTTACGTGACTTTACAGATCTGATGACTGACTTGACTTGCCTACAGATCTGATGACTTACTTGACTTGTCTACAGATCTGATGACTTATGTGACTTGTCTACAGATCCTGTGACTTACTTGATTTGTCTACAGAACTGCTGCTCTGTGTCAAATGACTGAAGATTGAGAAGTGTTATCTGTGTATGTGCAATGTGGAGGTACTGGGACAGCTCTACTACATCTACTGTGGTGATCAGCTTGGAGTTGATGGTCACCTAAAATATAATATAAATAGATTAATAAATCATAAGCAATATTATATATACAATATTTACTATTGCCGTAATAGCATATATATAAACAAACAAATAAGAAAGCTAAAGTGATGATTCTTTACTGGAACGTTAACGAACTATATTGATTTACTCTGCAAAGGAGGCATAACTTGAAATTTAATGAGAGAGAGAGAGAGAGAGAGAGAGAGAGAGAAGACGATGGTTCTTGTTGTAATAAGCAAAAGACTTCAAACATTGGTCTTTTATATTCACTAGGGCCCCATTTGGGCTTTACCTTCATCTAAAATTTTATGATTTTACAATTTGAAATATTTAATGAAGTTTTTGTATTCGATTGTAAAATCTTTTTGGCATCTTTTTTTAAACATGTAGTCCTATTCCTACCAGTACCATTTTTGGAGATGTTACCTTTATTTTAAAATAATCCTTTATATAAGGACCCTGGAATGCTTTATGGTACAATTGTAAGTTTGTTTAAATTGGTCAACGTGGACCTGGAGAAGAAACTAAAAATATGAAGTCTATGCACTACGAACAAAAAGCATTAATTTT